TTTTACGGAAGAGCAGACTGGGCACTTGGACACAGACGGGTTAACGTCTGGTGGCTTTTTGTATCCCAAGAGAAGCCATCCACTGGTCCCTAAACACTTGCCTTTAAAACCGTTGGCCAAGCCCCTGCCTTCTGCACACTGCAGTCTCTGCCTCCCTCTCTCTCTCTCTCTGCTTAGTCTCTGTGCAAGTCTTATGCAGCATCAGGCTAAGCAAGCCAGGTGTCTACCTGTTTCATGAAGACACCTGCCTCCCCTGGAATGAGAGATGCTTTGAGCACCTGCACTGCCCTCCTGCATCGTAATTTGCTCAGAAGAGCACAGAAAACTCACATCCTCGGGTCTCATCCTCACCTTTGTACTCGAGTTGTTCTGCACTGCCTCTCTCTTCTTCAGAGCTGGTAATTCCTTCCTACCGTTCGCTGCCAGGTCTTCACAGCTTAGGCTGGTGCACATCTGAGGCCAGCTTCTGATTTGTTTCACTGAGAATAAGTCATGCTTTACTTCCTGGTTTACCACTCAGATGGGTTCATGCAGGGACTCAAGTCAGGCTGTGGTAACCATTAGCCCTGATACCACAGGCGCCTGTCCCAGATGAGGTTTCTTCTAACGGCTGCCATACATACAGGGTTTTCTCAACCTGGCCTCTGTTGACTTTGAGGGCCAGGCAGTTCTTTGTGGTGGGGGTGGGGGCTGCTGTCCATTGCATTGAGCATGTTGAGCAGCATTTCTGGCCGTTCCCCTCTCCGTGTCAGTAGTAAACCCACCCCAGGTGCAATAAAGCAGTCTGCAGACATTACCTGCAGGGTTCCCCCAGTCGAAATGGTGCAGTAAATCCATGCCTTCAGTAGAGGGGAGGTGAGAGCCCCCAGGTGTTGCCCAGACGAAACGGTGTGGTGCATTCATGCCTTTAATAGTGGGGAGGTGACAGTCTAGGAGGAAGGAGCCCAGCCGACCGAGTCACTCAGGGACACACATACTGAGACCCGTCAACTGGAATGTCACCAGCACAGGAGACAGCTCTTCTGCGCTTTGGCCTAGAAAAGATGTGCCCCATGCTGCTCTCGTGGGGCCAGAACTCGTCACGGGGCCTCACCGAACTGCAGGGAAGCAGCAGTGTGAGCAGAAGAGGTGGGCTGCCTGGGGGCTTGAGCAGAAAGGAGGTGAGCTCATTTTTGTGGAATCCATGTTCTTGGTGAGGGTGCCTTTCTTGGGCCCCCATGGGTTAGAAATGGCCCCAAATGGCACTGCAGCAACGTGAGATGTTTCTGGTTATGTTTTGTGGCGCCGCGTTCATACCTGAGCACAGAAGAGTTTTCTGAACTGTCTTCTCTGACGCTCAGACTTCTGCAGGGCAGCCATCTGGAAATCTGGGGAGGCTTAGAAGAGCCGGGAGTTCTGGGGTCTGGATCCCGAGAGCTGTGTTGACAGCTGCTATAGATGCCAAGCCCAGAATTCGGAATGCCGTGTGGGGCTCCTGTCTCATTGGGAGAGGCAGGAACTTGGGGTAAAGGTGAGGAGAAGCCTGAGGGCCCTCCCCAGGGGGTGTTATTAGGTTTGCAGGGAGTGGAACGTGATCCGACTCGGAGAGGTCCATGGGAGCCACTGATGCTTGAATTTTAAATACTTAAAGCTGATTTTAAAACTGATCCTTTAAACTGATCTTCTTAAATGTTAGAACATAACCGTATTTCAGGTTTAGTGTCCGACTCCCTTCTTTTCAAAGAAGGAGCATTGCCGAATGGCGTGTATGGTCTCTCTCTGCTCTTGGTATCTGTCTTCCTGTTCCGGGGTCGTACACCCCTCAGATCCCAGGGAATCTCAGGGAACCCCAGACCCACTGGATTCACCCTGTCCCTGATTTATTTTAACATTGATGAAGTAGCTGTTTCAGGTTTATACTCGGAAGTCGCCGAGTCAGGATCCAGCCTAGGAGTCAAGCTTTTCTCACGGAAATTCTATTTGTCTTTTTGTCAAATGACTATCAGCTTTCCTTTCTCATGAACTGAGGAGTTGCATCCATTTGGTGGTGATTCCATATAAAGATATGTGTCAGCGGGTAGGTGGTGATTTCCACAGCATTTTGGATTACGGGGACCTAATACCATAACCACAGGCCACTGACGTCTTTGACTGTTATTTGTGACAATTGTTTCTCTTAAATTTGGGAGCATTTTTCAAACCTCAGTAGAGGGACTGTTCTTATGGTTCCTCAAAATACGTTTTAAAAACATGTCCCTCTTCATGCCCCTGTGTGCTTGCTTCAACATTTAATAACTGCTTTCCTAGTTGACTGAACTTCAGTTATTAATGTTTTTAAGCTCCCATTGTAGTTAAACTATTTATCTGTCACAGAGGTGAGAAATAAACTATCTTTTTTCTGCATCCACTGGAGTTATAACCATAGTGAAAGAACCATTTCTTTAATACACATTTTTCTAGCATATGGAAAAATCCGGGGTAAGATTCATTGTCAATATAATTTTTGGAGGTGGAACTACACATACCCACTAGAAATATAAGGTGACACCTGGCGCCTCATATTTAATCCCAAGACTGGGATTTATTCTTTCCCTTCAAAGACATCAATTCCTGAGTCGCTGGTGAATAACAACAGAATCTCACAGCAAGGACCCATATCTTGTAAATCTACGTGCAGCAAAATGCAGACCCATTGCTTTTGTTTGATGAAATTTAGTGGTCCGAAGAAATAGTGCTGAGAATAAGCAATCTATCATTTTACAAGACGTTTTGATTGTAACATAGAAAGCCTACCCATTGAATCTTCAGAAAAAGTAATTCTTGATCCTAGACGTGAAGCTATGGAGTGCTCGCACCGTCCCCCCCAGGAGACCATGCCGGACATTTCCTGACCGGCCTTTGGGTCTGTCTACCAGGTCACCTCCCGGCCGGCTTGGCTAAGGCGGTAATAACAGAGCCCGTGTGTGCAGCTTTCAAACACCAGCAGGAAATACATGCCCTTAAGATGAATTTGTTCCAGGAGCCTGCACTCTTTGGGGGTTTTAAGTGTCCCGAGACTTGAGTCGAATTTCAAGTTTGAACCACTCTCCAGGTTCGCGGTGTTCAGACCAGGAGCAGCAGGGGCTCCTGCCCTCCTGTCTCTGTAACAGCGCTGGCCTGGCTGACCCACTACCCCTGAGGATGGAGGCCAAGGGGTTGCAGGTGTCCCTAAAAATGCTTCCAAGGGAAATCTGGCAGGAAAGGCGGAAGTGAGGAGTTGATGTAAAGCATCCTCAGGTAACCCACCCACTTCTCTTCTGGACTCCCTGGAGGAGGTGACCATGTCTACACATTCTTTCTGCAGTCTGACCTCTGCTTGTCAGCTAGCTGTGCCTACTCTCTGAAAAGCAGGTGTGCTGAGCATGTGTAAATGGACGCAGACATAATGTGCCGCCCCTCCCAACATCAACTACACCCAGTACAGCGGCGTCCCATTACGGGTTCCCTGTAATACACCCATTTATGACACATTCACTTTGCTTGTACCGTGCAACCCATTTCTTTCCAGGAACACCACCCAGGCTCACTCCCCGTTGAATAAGCTTGTCTAAGGCTGGGGTCTCTCAGAGAACCACATGGTTCCCCATGACAATTTGCATTGTTTCATTCCAGTAACTTATCTTGTACTTGGGTCATTTGGTCACTAAATACCTGTAGTTACAAAAGTGACCATTACCATTATACATGCAAATTGTGAAAGCAGATTAAAGAGGTGTGTGATGCCTGCTGGTGCAAAGGTCCGTAAGGTTTTATGCGAAAACACTGAAAGCATGGTGAGTTCTGCGCCTGATTCTGCTTTGCTTCACGTGCATTGCTTCTCTGTCTAGCCACTGTCTCTTTCATTCCTAGGAGGCAGTTTTCAGACCTCTATCAGAGGATGTTTGATTAGCAGTCCGCCCCACAGAAAGTCATGACATTGTAGAATAAACAGGACATTAATCAATTATTTCATAATTGTACAGCAGTTTTTTGTAAAAATTTCAGTATTTGGGGCTTTCATGGCACACAGAACTCACACATTAAAAAAGATTGAACCGTCTTCCCACGAGGCCCATGCATTTCCCGAATTTGGAAGTCTGAACAGCTTTATTAAGGTGCGACATAGAGAGCGTGACATTCACATGCAATCATTTTTAGTAAATGTATAGAGTTCTGCAGCTCTAGTGAAGCGACTCTTCCTATGAGAACGTTTTGTTGGCCCCCTAAAGATCGTCTGTTAACCCTTTGCAGCCCCCTTCTGTCCTCTCCTCCCACATTCATTTAATTCTTGACTTCGTATGTCTGGATTTTCTCAAACCGAGAAAATGAAATACTGTGGTCCTTGTGTGTTCTGTGTTGTTCCCGATGGCTCTATTTGTGCGTGTGTGCATTTTGCATGTGTGCAAGTTATTTATCTCTCCTGTACATATTACCACTCAGCCAACCTCTCCTCTTATTTTATTCTAAGCAGAGATGCAGACATGTTTAAAATGTTAATGTGGGAGCACAAGAGTGGGCAGAGGTGAAAGGCGATGACCTGTCTCGTTGGTGTATATGTACTGAGTGCCCGCTTTGCTTCTCCAGCTGAAAGTGTATCGCACTAAAATGACCGTCCCCTTGGCCTTCTGGGCTCCGACAATCAGTAGGCCTTTTCCACTCCTCCCGGCACAGCATCTCATTAAGGAGATAGGAACAAGCAGGAGGCAGAGAGCAGAGGGCACTTGGGAGGGAGGCGGTGGGGAGAGAGGCTGATTCTGCATAAGTGCACACGGCCGTGGTGACACTAGCATTGTGGCGCCCGTCAGCGTGTGCTTTCTTGGCAGCTACGCAAGGATGCTCGGTGGTTTAAGCTATGGCGGAGCCGTAAGCATGGGAAGTACATGCATTTCACCCGTAATTAAGTGAAGAATTTCCTCGCAGCGCCGTGTCTGTGCATGTGCCATTTGTGGTGACTGTCCTGCTCCTTTGCACGTGACTCCATCTTCTGTTCTTGTGAACCGCAGGCTCGTCCATCTGGAAAGCCTTTTTCTTCACCCCCAAGTTCACCCCCGAGGGGGCCAACGGATGCTTTTCCACCCACCTGTGTTTCTGTTATGGGCAGTACATCACTCACCACGACCCGCCTTTGCTCTTTGATATTTCCAAAGACCCGCGAGAGAGGAACCCCTTAAGCCCGAGGACCGAGCCGCGGTTCCGGGAGATCGTGGCCACGATGCAACAGGCTGCGGACCTCCACACCCGGGCCCTGCAGGCGGTCCCCAACCAGCTGTCGCTGGGGAATATCCTCTGGAAGCCCTGGCTCCAGATGTGCTGCTCATCCTCGGGCCTGTCCTGCCAGTGCGACCGGGAAGCCCAGGACGAAAGAGAGACACTTTAGCCAGCGTGCGCCCACCTCCTCCCTACACCCCCACCTCCCCCAGCTGGGTGCCCCTCCATGCATGGCCTGCCGGGCCAGCACCACAGACGCATCAATTCCCTGTCACCTCACCTGAAGCCTCCACCGAGGGCCCCCCGCGGGACAGCTACCCCATGGGAAGGAATCAGGACTTACCGCCTAGGGAGGGCATGTGGCCAAAGCCCGTGGCTTTCCTGTAAATGCGACGGGGGGTGGGGGTGGGGTCAGAATGAGCGTGGCCAACAGCAGCACAGACAGTAGGAAGGTGCCCACCTCTCCTGGTCACCCCTGAGGAAATGTGTGTGAGGAATGGGGCAATGTGTCATTTATTCCATGACTGTGTGTGGCACCCTGGCTGCCATGACCCCCATCCCCCACCTAGTGCAATAGTAATAAAGAGAATAACATTGAAAAAGTGTTCAGTAAATCTTAACATATGCAACTGTCCCTTCCGTACCAACACCAGATGATGTGAAGGTCCAGTCTGGTCACAGGAAGGTAAATCCCAGCATCATTTAGAACACATACTAAATACTCTAGATGACATGTTTTTATATATGCACAGCCTCTTTCTTTCCTGGACAAGGGTGAGGTATCTAGAATGCGCAACTAAAAGCTTATCGCTGACTGAAAATGGTAGAAGCTCACAGGTGTGTTTCTGAGCCAACAGAGGCTACAGGTATTTCACGGAATCTGTCAGGCCCTCCGGTGATCTCAGGACACCCCCCTCCCGGCTGACTTCCACCCCCTGATTTGTGATATTACATTTGCGTCCTGATGTTTCTTTGGTGAATGGAAATTCAGGACTAAAAGGCTATAGCTCCACAAACTCCTTCCACGATAATTCAGAATTATTGCAATGGCAAGTGTATGATAATGTGGGGTCACAAGCAATCCACGGTCCACACCACAACCATGACATCTTTACTTCTTGGAGCGTTTAGTGATGGAAGACAGCACTCAATGTAAGTCCTTCTGTTGTGTTGTGATCTTGCCCTGTGGCCAGGAAATATCTGTGCCTCCAGTCCGCAGTGAGATGTACAGCTTTTTTTTTTTATAATTCCATTTCCCCAACCTCAGCCCTTAAGGGACAAGGCGTAATGGGGTCACATAGGGAATTGGCAGATAGGGGCACAGCAGGAGTCAGTTCTCCAGCCTGCACCTGGTGTCACTCCTGAGGAGAGAACTCAGCCTTGTGAAATAGCTTTCTGCCAGTCTGGAAAACGCAGTGCAGTCCCCACCAGCATCACGGGGTCACCGTCCCTGACCAGCCCACAGGAGCTTCCATTCTTGTGCCCAGCTGTTCATCTCTCAGAAACCCGACTGAGCATCCTGTTCACCCAGCATTTGCTCAGTTCCACGAGAGAGCGGGCAGATGGGAATCCCAGATGCACGTGGCATTAGGAGAGAAGACGTGCCCCGTCCCAGGTGTTCTGGTGATGGGGTGTAACTTCCTTTATTTATCCCCCACTGAAGAATTTCCAAGGTACAACAGCCCTTCCCACTTCCTCTTAAGATCCGCTAGTTCAGATTTCCACCTCTCTTTTCTTTTTCCTAAAATAATAGAAGTGGATTTTTTTTTTCTCTTCCTGGGAATGGTTGAAAGTCAGAAAACAAGACAGGATTCTTACCTTGAATGTGGATTTCTCATTGCAAAAGCACCTGACGTCTGTCATCCTGTGTGAGGAAATGTGATTAAGGAGGGTTGTGAGTCACCAATGTGTTAGGATGATGGCTAATGTTACTGTGCAAAAACTGTTTGACGCCACTATTAGGAACTTGTGTTTTAAGATGATGCTGTTTACCCCAAGTCCACATACACAATGCACATGAACTTTTCCACAACTCTTTGTGGTATGGGAATGTGTGTTTCAGGAGTGAATAACTTGAAGCATTTTTATAGATTATGTGAATCCGTATTTAGGGATAGAATTGTTTCAGCTGTGTGCTAACAGCAAATGAAGGACACATTTACCTCTGTTGATAAAATGGGCTTTGCAATATTTGCCTCAGAGTAGCTTAGATCACCACTGTGTATTCAAACATCAGGTTTGTTTGAAATAACCGTAATTATGTTAGATTTCCAACCATTTACCATCTGAAAGTTTTGCTTGGAATGGACAACAGGACATTGGAAGTCTTCTGCTCGGGAGAGACCTAAAATTCTTCTTTACAACCTTGTTTTGTTTTTATTTTTCCAAAGCTGTCCGTGGCTACTTACTTCCAAACCACCCCGTTGACATTACCTCTCGAGTCGCATGTCCAAATCTTGGTGGGTTCTGAAGCATTAAGCACATGCTTTAAAAAAAAGAAATCTTTATATTCCTAGTATTTCATACATGTGAGAAACTAAGCAAAGAGTAACATGCAGACAAGCGTGATTTTACAAGGTCACTAACGCTGCCTGGGATGCAAAACCACAGCCTACATACCGAGGCAATTAAGGGTTCAAGAAAGGAAACAAAGTTTAGATTGCCCTGAAGGGCGTACAGTGGAGAAGAGAGGCAGGGAAAGTATTTGATCCACGTCTGAAAATGCAACCAATAAAGGAGGTGCATCCGGTAACGGTGCCTCTGTACCTTATTGTAACATAAATGCAAAGTTAAAATAAAATTTTCCTGGCCCGTGAATAAACGCTGTGCTCTAGCGTCGTGCTTTCTCGTGTGTGACTCAATTCAGCAAGTGTGTGGAGTGTTTACTACATTTCTGGCACAATATTAAGCTGTGGGAATACAAGTTTCATTTCAATAAATCTTTACGGAGTCCTTAAAGCTCAAGGAAGGGCCTAATAGGTGCAGAGATGGACATGAAATAGCAGAGCCCCCGACCTCCGTGACTTGAGGGCAGGGCAAGCCAAATTATCCATCGTGCACACTGCCTTTGTAAGGACTAGTAAAACAATATCTTCATTTCCTTTAAAATCAGAAGAAGGAAAGAAAATGAACATTTGAGATTGAAGATTGTAGGCACATGGGCACCAGCATAGCCTTACAACATAAATGTAGTGTGTTTTAATATGTCTTAATGCTCTTATATGACATATGTTGATCTTCAAACACATTGACTATGTTTTTCCTTCATCCGTGGAAGTCTCAATTGGCCCCAAACCCAGGTGAAGCAGTGGCTTTGCCTGACAGGTATTTACAACAGAGATGTTTGGAGGGTCTAAATTATGATACAAGTCATTGTCCTCTCTTCTCTGACTTGGGACTGGGTTGCTGAGGAAAACCGAAGTAGGGTCAGAATAAGCGTCTGAAGCAGTAAGGAGAAGGAAAGAGCATTAGCCCTGGGATTCGGCTGGGGTCCTGTGGGACTCAGCCATTCCAGATTAAAGGCCCAGTGTGTGCATGGGAAGGCGGGCAGACCACACGTGGCAGGGACAGGTGTGCGTGGGCAGAAGACACTGATTCACAGGGGCTGCTGTGTGGCTTGCAAGTGAGCTAAAAGCTAAGACTCGTTACCTCCTCTTTAGCTCTCAGAGAGTGTGATGTGTTATCTGGGCTTCCTCCAGGGCACCTGCAACCTGCTCTGGGCCTCGTGAGTGTGCCACGCTAGTGCCTCCGGCCGTCCTTGGATTTCCTACCCCAAGAATCACACGTCCACCTTGCTGGAGCTGCTTCTAGTGAACATCACCGCACACCATGTCTTTGTTTCATGGGCCCCAAATCCAGGCATTCCTCATTTTAGTGCACTTGGCAGACGCTGTGTTTTTTACAGATGAAGGTGTGTGGCAACCCTGCGTTGAGCGGGTCTGTGAGCACCACGTTTCCAACAGCATTTGCTCACTTTGTGCATCTGTGTCACATTTTGATCCTTCTCGCAATATTTCGAACAGTGAGCTTTGATGTTACTATTGTAATTGTTTTGGGGTGCCGTGAGCCATGCCCTTGTGTAAGACGGCAAACTTAACCCATAAGTGTTGTGTGGGTTCTGACTGCTCCATTGACCGGCTGTTCCCCGTCTGCCTCTCTTTGGGTCTCCCCTATTCCCTGAGACACAACAATATTGAAATGAGGCCAATTAATGTTTTATAGTGGTCTCTAAGTGTTCAAGAGAGGAAGACACTCTTACTACAAATCCAAAGCTGAAAACAATTACTTAGAGACAAAGCAATGTTCAAAAACAAGATGAGCCAAAATCTAGGCTTCTTGCACCAAACAGCCCCGTTACGAATGCAAAGCTAAAGTTACTGAAATGCAAAGTGCTGTTTGGCTGAACACACAAGTAATCAGAAAGCGAAACAGCCGTACTGCCAATATGGAGACAGTGTGAGTGGTGTGGATGGAAGATCAAACCGGCCACCACATTCCCTTACGACAAAGCATAAACCCGAGCGTGACCCTAAATTGCTTAAACTCTTTGAAGTCTGAGGGAGGTGAGGACGCTGCTGAAGATGAGTCGGCAGCTGGCAGAGGCTGGTTCGTGAGGTGTAAGGAAAGACGGTGTCCCCGTGACATAAAAGTGCAGGGGAATCCGCAGGTGCTGATGGAGAAGCTGCAGCCAGTTATCCAGGAGATGCAGCTAATGGATGAAGGTGGCTACACCACACAGCAGGGGTTCAGTGTAGAGGAAACAGCCTTCTGTTGGAAGAAGATGCTATCTAGGACTTGCATAGCTGGAGAGGAGAAGTCAACGCCTGGCTTCAAAGTTTCAAAGCACAGGCTGCCTCACTTGTGAGGGGCTAATGCAGCTGGTGACTTGCAGTTGAAGCCAGGGCTCACTGACCATCCTGGAAATCGCCAGGCCCTCAGGACACATGCTACATATACTCTGCCTGTGCTATCTAAGTGGAGCGACAAAGCCTGGGTGACAGCACAGTTGTTTACAACATGGTTTGCTGAATGTTTTGAGCCCACTGCTGAGACCTACTGCATAGAACAAGATTCCTTTCAAAATATTGCTGTTCATTGACTGTCCTGGCCACCCAAGAGCTCAGATAGGGATGCACAACAAGAGTCGTGCTATTTTCATGCCTGCTAACACAGCATCCAGTCTGCAGCCCATGCAGCAAGGAGTCATTTCAAATTTTAAGACTTCCTGAAGAAAGACATTTCATCGGGCTCTAGCTGCCAAAGATAGTGATTCCTCTGATGAATCTGGGCAGAGCCCACTGAAAACCTTCTGGAAAGGGTCCTTCATTCTAGGTGCCATCAAGAACATTTGTGATTAATGGAAAGACGTCAGCATATCCACACGAACAGGGTTTGGGAGAAGTTGGTTCCAATCCTCACAGATGACCTTGAGGGGTTCAGGGCTTCAGTGGGGGTGATTCAACTGTAGAAGTGGTAGAAGAAGCAAGATAACTAGAATTAAAAATGGAAGCTAAAGAAGTGAGCTTAGCAGTTTGATTGAATTGCTGCAATCTGTTGATAAAACTTGAACAGACAAGGAGCTGACTTTTGGTGAGCAAACAAAGTGGTTTCTTGAGATGGAATCTACTCCTGGTGAAGATGCTGTGAAGACTGTTGACATGACAATAAACGATTTGGAATATTCCATACACTTAGTTAACAAAGCAGAGGCTGGACTCTAATTTTGAAAGAAGTCCTGTGTGTAAAGTGCCATCAAATACCATCGCCTTCTACGGAGAAATCAGTGACAGGAAGATGCAGCCAGTGTCACTGTCTTTTTTTAACAAACTGCCGCAGCCACCCCTGCCTTCAGTGGCAATCACCCCGATCAGTCAGTAGCCATCACCTTGGAAGCAAGATCCTCCCACAGCAGAAAGATTATGACTCACTGAAAGTTCAGAAGATGGTTAGTGCTTTTTAGCAATAAAGTATCTTTAAATTAAGGTCTGTACATTGTTATTTTGGACATAATGCTATTGCACACCTCACAAACTCTGGTATAGTATAAACATAACTCTTACATGGCCTAGGAATCCCCAAGAGTCATTGGCCTCACTTTATGGCTCTGTCTGCTTTCTCGTGGTGGTCTGGAAGTGGACTGGAGATGGCTTTGAGGTAGGCCAACAGTGATCGTGAAGGACTAATATTTCACAAGGTCAAATGCTATGGTGGAGGACCGACATCAGCTTTCCTAACTGGAACACTAGCAGTCTGAAAACTGCCTGTGTGTTTGCACATAGGAAAAATTATCATGGAGTGACTTGTCAGTTTTCTAAGAAGGATATAAAGGACCCTCCTGTATAGGAGACCCTCAAACGTTTGCCCTCAAAATCGTTCTGTGCATGAAGTCCAAATTCTTGTCAGTGACTTTTCATGATAATGTTGTCTGTTTTGCATGGCAAATGCATCAAACTGTGCGATGTCTAAATATGCTGTACCCAATAAACCAGCACAATCCCTTTCATATTGACAGCTAGGTATAGATTTGGCACAACTGAATAGATGAAGATCTCAGGCTTCAAACTATATTACCTGTGCTGAGAGGTGGTGCTGTTTCTCTAAAGGCAACATTTCCAGTGAATATGTTTTTATAAATATGTACTTTGAATTGCCTATCAAAATTTATATTGTCAAAATTTAACAAGGTTTAAAACTAAGTGCATAAAGTGCTATATGTACAAAGATGGGGCATATTCCCTAGTGGGCAGGGCCCCTTTGAAATAGAAACTGTCACCTGGCTCCAATGTAGTTTCATGTCAGTGGGTATTGTGCAGCGGTGTTTCCTACTTAACCTATCATTATGTTGGGACCACAGGGGACACCCAGGCCTGGCCAGAAAGCTCCCACACATTCCTATTTATTTGTGGCCACTGAATGCAGATTATCCAGTCAAGGCCTCTGAGCTGGTCCTGGGAATGGTGATGCCACAAGGCCTGGATCCTTGAGTCACACTCTGGAATCAACAGGTGACTGTCACCTGATCAAAATCTAAACTTTAGTCTTTCAAGCCACCGAGATTTGGAGTCTGTTAGGGTAACCAGCAGCTGGAGTCAGTTACGTTGACTCATGCACATGATGTTGGCCACACTATAAACTGGACATTTTGTGATAGCTCTTTGGATTGCAAGCAGTTTTTTGGACGTACTGGTGCCGGTGTAAGTAGAAGCCCCGTGCATTTATTCTTTTTGTGTCTACGTGTGCTTTTTAAATTCTATTAGAATAAGAACACCTAATGAGATCTATTCTCTTCACATGTCTTTAGGTGTGCAGAGCGATATTCCTAAATATAGGCACAATGCTGTGCACTAGACCTCTAGAATTTATTCATCTTCTGTAAGTGACCCTCTACACCCATTGAACGGCTCCCCATTCATTTCCCTTCCCCTCTCCCCCAATCCTTGGAAACCAGCATTCTGTTCTCTGCTTCCATGAGTTTGACTACGTGTGACTCCTTGTGTGAGTAGAATCATGCAGTGTCTGTCCTTCACTGACTCACTTA